AAGGCCATGAAAAAAAGACAAAGGAGCCAAGACAGAACTAGCCAGAGAAGGTACCAACAGGAACATTAAAAAAAGAAAAAAAAGTGCACACCATTTGGCAGCATAACAAATCAGTGAAAAACAGTGCATAGAGGAATCCAGAGCCAGGTGACCTAGTTAGGGTTGTCAGTAGAGCGAACTTCCATCTTGAAGCAGTAGGCAAAGCTGGTTACAAGTTGTTACTCAATATTTACAGGTAGCAACATGCAGCACAAACCAGAGAGCTGTTTACAGTCATTTACAGCTCTCTGGTGCACAAAACAGAGCCTCAGAAGAGATTTTCAAATTACAGAAGCATTTGGTTTCAGAGACAGTCACGTGGAGACTTGTTCTTCCTGTTCATAGTGCTAACATATTTCTAATTAAGATATGCTGACCCCTTTGTTCTCAAAGGTGAGGAAGGGAAGGAGTCTTTACACTCCATTAACTTCATCGTAAGCAGGAAGTTTGTCTTAGTAACAGAAATGTTACTGGTCACTCCTGTAGCGTCAGCAGAGTTCCATAGAAGTGTATTCAATTTTCTTTCTGCTTTTGCATTAAACATGGACACTATGAGCTAATTTAATTCAGATAAAAAAAAAACGCGAGTCCAGTCTTGCTAGATTTAAAGACAGAAGCTACTCAAATGCTGGTAGCCTTTAGAATGAAAGTGTCACCAGCAGTTACAAACCAAGGCTAGTCAGATTGCAGCTAACCAGTCTGCAAGGCTGGGAGGTAGGAATATCTAGGTTGTTTTTTGTGGTTTTGTTTAGGGTGGGTTTTTTGTTTTGTTTTTGGGTTGTGGGTGTGGGTTTTTTTTGCTTTCAGGATGAATTTGAAATGTGCCACTTTGGAGAAACGCCATCTTAGAATGCAATCAATGCCAGGCTGACTCATTAAGCGAATATGCAAATATGGAGCACAGAGGAGACCACTCCTTAGTTTGTACCTCCATTAGCAAATGTTATTTTCTCTCCAAAATATGCTGGTATCCTTCCCACACACTCCACCTACCTGCCTGAAGACAGAGCCACATCTTTCAGAGCCATCAGAAGACTTTCCCCTTCCACATACGCAAAAGATAAATTGATGCATCCTACATACAAATAAATGAAACAGGAAAAAAAAACTTCCGTCAACTAAAATCTAGGGCAAATCCTAACCCGTGTGGCAGTACTTGCACAATGTGTAGCTAAAGTGCATTATTCAGTCATGGCATTAACCCTGAGGAGCAAGCCAGTTCTAACGGGCTCGAGATTTTACTAATGTTACCTGGATAGCGATGCTCTCTATCTCCATTCATAACCACATCAGGAACCTCACTCATTATTTTTGTAACCAGTCGTTCTGCCAGTTGAGAGATTCGCTTATGGTCATACTAGCAAAGAAACCAGAAAAGAAACCAAAATAATAAACAGTGTACAGTTTGACCTCACTCAAACTGCTTTGTGTCACCAGCCATGAGCAGACTGATGGAGCTGGGTTTGGTTAGACTCAGGAAAGAACACATCTGAAACTTGAAAAGAAACTGTCAAACTTCGCGTACTCTAGAGACTGTTTTAAAAGAGAATTACCAGTTTGGTCCTAGCTAGCTCAGCCTTCAAAAATATTCCAAACCATACAGAAAGATCTATACATACAAGCTTCCAAACTGTTTTTTATAAAAAGCACCGAGTTCTTTGTGTTTAAAGACGAGTTAGGTCCTAAGATGACGCATTTTGCAACACAAGAAAGCGCATCTATTATGGTTAAGTGCCCCTTATTTCCCTAGGAGCTCTCAAACTGTACTACATAAAGACAAAGACTCACAAATTACTGTGAACTCAGCTTTTACAACATGTAAGCTACGCAATGAGAACTGCCCATTCTAGACTAAAATTGAGGTCACTTACACTAAAAAAAGCAGCAAGGTATGGTATCAGCTCTTGTGCACGGAAATAGACAGATGTGCACATGCAATTCATGCTTGTTTATACTCTCGAAAAAGCTTTAGAAGAAAAAAGGCTACCTCAAATATTACTTGGTTTAGAAATGCCAAAACTCTGCCAGGCAAGGAAGAGAATCCAGATCTGAGGCTCGTGCAGAACTCGGGCTCTGCAGGCGCTCCAGCCTCTAACAAGGCTTCCATAACCACCCAGCTCAGATGGCACATCTCTCCCTGTCTCCCAGGAAGCAGCTTGATCCTATGTGTACAGGCAACTGGCTCATACATCCCACTGGCAATATATTAAAGGATTTTTAAATTCCAGTTTGAAGGAAAGCATTGGTGCCCACAAACAGATACAGCAGCACAGAGAGGCTCAGACACCAGAAATAGCAAATAAACTACCGCTCAAGCCAAGAAAACAAAAAAAATTCTCAGTTGCAAAGCTGCAGTAAACTTGAACTTGCATACATTTAATAGGTATGATATTGGACTAGGAAGTCTTATTTTTTCCAATATACATTACATAAACATGATTTATTCCATTTCAGAGACACTGCAAATACATGTGTGCAGAATGGAGTGAGGAGTACAAGCACTTAGAGCCATATTTCACTAAAACTGTCAACTGTAAACCTGTCGCAGAAAACCATAATTCAAACCACAAAAAAAGAAACTTAAGCAAGCTAAAAATCAGCTTCCAATTACCCCAAACCAGCTGTGAAGACTGCAAAACATTTACTTAATGTTACAACAGGAGAATCAAATTTAATTCAAGCACATGGACACAATAAGACTTCAGGAATCTAAGACCCAGCTGGCCCTGTTATATTATTTTCTTGGAATCCAGGACAAATACCTTCCCCCACATACCTCCATCTCTTGCTGTGCCACTTCACACGCTGCCCCCAGGCCCACTGCTAAAGGAGTGGGCACAGTCCCAGACCGCAGTCCTCTCTCCTGACCTCCCCCACTTTGCAGGGGTTCTAGCCTGACGCGCGGTCGACGGCGAACATAGATAGCACCAACCCCTTGAAAACAAGGAAAGCTGTGTCAGTATACATTCACAGTTCTGAAACTATGAAAAGGGACTCCAAGGTTTGGAAATGTTCCTTGTTTCCACACAGAACACATATTTGGACACCTCACTGGAGAAAAATGTCGTGAACACACACAGTATTTTCTAGGAAATGGCGTTTGTTCCCACCCTTCGTGTTCCTCTTCATTCAGGCTCCCAGAGCTTCAGCCATGGGAGAAGCTCAGTTTTGCACAGTGTGCTTCAGCCACCTAAAGACTCCGTACTTCCCTTACTTCTCATGATTCCTGTCCACAGCTGAAGTTCATCCCTTTGCATTGAAGTTTTTAATGTGGAGACATTTCATTCATTGATGTTCCCTTACTGACTTCCAACTGAAACCTCTAGAAGAACTCCTTTCCCTGGATTACCAGTCCAGCACCAGTCCCAGGAGCTGTTCTCTCCCTTTCTTCCCATTAGGGAGACTCATCAGTGGCACTCATTTCCAACAGACAGATTAGATGAGCCACTTTTGACAGCCGGTCAATTTCACTCTCTGCTCTCCTCACCTAGAAACTTGATTTCCATGTTTTCATGTGCCTTGGCATACCTAAGAGTGACTAGTCACCACAGGAGGAATGGTTGCAACTTCTGGTTGTAGTAAGTTGGGAAAATTTATGTCTGTCACTTGCCCAAACTACTTGGTTGTAAACTTAGTCCTCGACCAGAGATATGTCTTCAGCTCTCAGGAGAGCTCATACAGAAAAAGACGACACATTGAAAAAAATAGTAATTTTGCCTTTTTTTCTGAATAGCACATAGAATACAGCAAACCTGATTTCTGCCTTTCTACATCCAGTGTTACAAACTAAATGAACCATGACAGTGATAACAGCTGAACTCCCAAATTGTATGAGTGCATACTAGTCAACTAGCTGGATTTTAAACCCCATCCTGCAAAGATGATGCACAAATGGGGTTGGGGGGAAGAAGCCATTGGAAGTAGAAGACAACCAAAATCACTAAGAATTTAAACATTCCAGTTACTTTTTGATCTCCTTATTGCAAGTTACAGTTGGGTCTAAACTTTGCCCTATAACCCAGTGATTTCATTTCAACTGTTTCAGCATCAATGCTGCTTCACACCAAGCATATGACTCCTGAAAAGCCATTCCTCCTACTGCTGCCACCATCATAAGACACTGTTTCTTCCTTCAGTGAAGCCACCTTGCAACCCATCAGCACTGAAGACACACTTACCGCATCTCTAGGTCTGGCAGTAGCGCCTGAACTACTCCAAAGTCAGTTCAGTAATGATCTTAGAATAGTTTCCCACAGTTTAAGTAAGTCACTAAGTAAGACAGACAGGTTTAACTTCATACCTTCCATAGTTACCTTAAGGTAGGCATGGAATTCTCTAGAAAAGTACCTTTGGGCCCATAAATTTTATGGCCACTGATGCTCATTAGATCAATTTTCATGTCATTGACATCCATAGGAATTTTACCAATTGCTTGTGCAGCATCTGTGTGGAAGAAAACCTTACGTGTGCGGCAGATCTCACCTGTAATACAAACACAAAAGCAAAAACCCCCACATTATCTCATCTAATGGTTACAATTCCAAAATTATTCCAACAATTAGTTTAAAGCATCAGTTCATAACCGGGACCAGTTCTGAGGTGACAAAGGAAGAAATGGGTGCTGTCATGTTTCTTTTACGGTTAAGTGTCTAAAGCTGTGTAGAAGCTATTCTAGCTGATGCCTAGATGGATGCAGGTTTAGGCAGGTCAGCAGGTAAGACTACAGTGAAGTTTTTCAGTTGAGAAGTTAAAAAGCCTTTTGCTGTTAAGATGTGAGATTGTTGCCAGTCCCACACCTACCAAGTTTAAGTACAAATGGCTTCACAGGACATCCAAGTTTC